GAAAAGGGCTCAGCCCATTGTTGAATAAGTTTCAGTCATTGCCCAATAACACAATCAAGATTCAGGCCCAAAACTTAAGCCCAAGCCTTAACCAAGTATGTTGCTCTGAACCGTCGGATGAGGATCAGATCTACGGTTGTTGGTTTGTCCATATATACCAGCTTGACTGTCCATTTGAGTCATGATTCTCATTCTTCTCCTTGCTGTGTGCGAGAAAAGGCTTTTGGGGTTTTCTGCCTTTACGATTCTGCTCGTTTCTTCCTTCTCTATTTTGGTCTTTGTGATGTGATTAGAACACCTGATTTTAATCATTATTCTTTGTGATATTATCTCTGTGATTGAGGGAGAGTTTCGACTTGTAGATTGATGTGTTCAATCGAGTCCATTGTAGTAGCTGGTTGGGGTTATTGTCTTAGGGTTTGGGGCTTTTGTGGTCGATTCTATATTGTACATAAGGGTACAATGTTCTGTTTCTGAGCCTAAAGAAAATATATGATACTTTGTGTATATTGTTCGGTTTTCTTGGTTAATGCTTGACTGCTTCCGCTTGATTCTTGAGGCTCATTCCCTTACAATCTAGATCTTTTCATTCGTTAGCATGCTCTTTTGTTTTTAGACACTTATCCATCTCTAAAATATGAACATTTGGTAATTTTTTTTAATGAAATTATAGCATAATTTATTATATAATGTTTTATTAGGTTAAATTCGATGAATGGAAGTGTAATTGAAAGAAGCGAAAAATGACGAAAAATAGCAAGATTCAAAGTTTGGAGACTAGAGTGTAAATACTCAAAATTTGTGTCGGACTTTACAATGAAGATTCGAGAATATTAGAGGTTAATTAGAAGTCAAAAATGAGTGAAATATAATCAAAATATTTCCAAAAATCAATTTTCAATCAAACAAGTATATTTTAGATTTTTAGCCAGAGATTGAGACCCATTTTTGGCATAGTAAACTTTCGAATTGGAAAAAAAAAAACCATTTGAGTTATCTTTACAACTTAATTTGAATTGCTTCAATTTGATAGCAAGAGAGAAAGTTATGATAAAAATACTAAAAGATGTGCAATAATGAATTTTTTTCCAAGAGACGGCACCGAAAATCCACCATTTTTTCCTGAAAGGTGGCGCCTCAGCATCCATAAATTTGACGCGGCGCCACTTCTATCGCACCGAGGCATCGTTTGATGCATTTTAGGGCACGGGTTTTTGGCTCAATTAGAACACATGAAGACTACAAATTCTAGGAAAAGCATTGAGAAAAGTATAAATACAAGAAAAATGCACTTGAAAAGAGATCCACACATTGAGATACAAATTGAGAATTAGAGAGCAAAATTAAAGGAGAAATACAACAAATCAAGGGTTTGGAATCAAGATTTGGAACAAGAAGAGAAACTTGATACAAGATTCATCTACTTTTCTACGTTTTTATTCAAAACCCGACGATGTACTTCATTATCATCTTTTTTTTTTTTCATCTATCATGAGTAGCTAAAGTTTTTAATTAGGACGAATAATGCAATCTATTTGAGACCATTAATTTCTTTTATTCAAGATTCTA